CATGTTAGCCAGGATGGTCTCGATCTCCTGACCTCGTGATCCACCTGCCTCGGCCTCCCAAAGTGCTGGGATTACAGGCGTGAGCTGCCGCGCCCGGCCTAATTTTTCTATTTTTTAGTAGAGGTGGGGGGGTGTTCACTATGTTGACCAGGCTGGTCTCGAACTCCTGACCTCAAGGGATCTGCCGGCCTCAGCCTCCCAAAGTACTGGGACGACAGGCGTGAGTCGCTGCGCCCGGCCGGGATGCGTTTATTTTTTTTAAAGCTTCCTACCCGAATAGGTGTTCAGTGCGTTGGGTAACGGTATTAAATAGTGCAGTGGTTTTGATGAGGTGAGCCCGGATATTGAACAACTGCAGTTCCCAAAGATCTAAAGAGGCGATTGGAATGAAAGCATCTGTGGCTGACTTCATGGGCTGAGGGAATGGGCTTCTCTCATGCAATCGCCGTTTTTTCTTTTCTTGAGTAAAACTGCAGTTTTGACAACACAAAACTCCACTGCTTCGTGGCTGAACAAGCCCTAGGCAGAGAGATGCCTGCAGGTTAACTTCCGTGACAGCAACACCAAGATGATGGCTGCAGGTGGTGGCGATGAGGATACTGAAACCAGCAGATCTTGGCCGGGCACGGTGGCTCACGCCTGTCACCCTGGCACTTTGGGAGGTCGAGGCGGGAGGATCACCTGAGGTCAGGAGATCGAGACCAGCCTGGCTAACACGGTGAAACCCCGTCTCTACTAGAAATACAAAAATTAGCCAGGCGTGGTGGCAGGTGCCTGTCACCCCAGCTACTCAGGAGGCTGAGGCAGGAGAATCCCTTGAACCCGGGAGGTGGAGGTTGCGGTGAGCCGAGATGATGCCATTGCACTCCAGCCTGGGCGACACAGTGAGACTCTGTCTCAAAACAAAAACAGAAAAACCAGCCGCATTGTGCAAGGGGGTCATGTGCTGGTGGTATTTTGAGACGTCCGCAACAGCTCTCATGTGACATGAAAATATCTGTGGGTTCTCTGTCAGCAAGCCACAGGATTTTTTGTTTTTTTGTTATTTATTTATTTTTTTTTCAGAGTTCCACTCTAGTTGCCCGGGCTGGAGTGCAGGGGCACGATCTCGGCTCACCGCAACCTCCGCCTCCCAGGTTTAAGCGATTCTGCTGCCTCAGCCTCCCTAGTAGCTGGGATGACAGGCACCGCCCCACCATGCCCGGATAATTTTGTATTTTTAGTAGAGACGGGGATTCTCCATGTCGGTCAGGCTGGTCTCGAACTCCCAACCCCTCAGTTGATCCACCCCGGCCTCCAAAGTGCTGGGATGACAGGTGTGAGCCACCGCACCCGGTGGATCCCTCAGGCTCTTGTATCACAGCTGTGGCTTGAAGTACGCTCATGGTTGGCGGGAATAGCCCATCTTAGGAAGAGGTAGTGAAAATCAGAGTGAAATCTCTTCTCGTTCCTTGTTTGTAGAGCCCCTGAATTTTATCCCTAGGCCCGCAAGGGTTGGAAATACCTATTCCCCAGCCACCCATACATGGAGCAGCCTCCCGGGTTCAAGCGATTCTCCTGCCTCAGCCTCCTGAGTACCTGGGATGACAGGTGCCTGCCACCAAGCCCAGCTAATTTATTTTTTATTTTTATTTACTTTTCTGATATGGAGTTTCACTGTTGTTGCCCAGGCTGGAGTGCCATGGCACAATCTCAGCTCTCTGCAAGCTCTGTCTCCTAGGTTCAAGCAGTTCTCCTGCCTCAGCCTCCCAAGTAGCTGGGATTACAGGCGCCCACCACCACGCCCGGCTCAGTTTTTGTATTTTTGGTAGAGACGGGGTTTCACCGTGTTAGCCAGGATGGTCTCGATCTCCTGACCTCAGGTGATCCGCCCACCTTGGCCTCTCAAAGTGCTAGGATGACAGGCACACGCCACCACGTCTGGCTAATTTTTCTATTTTTATTTTTATTTTTTTTTATTTTGAGACGGAGTCTTGCTCTGTCCCCCAGGCTGGAGTGCGGTGGCGCGATCTCGGCTCACCGCAAGCTCCGCCTCCTGGGTTCCAGCAATTCTCCTGCCTCAGCCTCCCGAGTAGCTGGGACTACAGGCACCTGCCACTGCGCCCGGCTAATTTTTTGTATGCCGGCTCATTTTTGTATTTTTGGTAGAGACGGGGTTTCACCGTGTTAGCCAGGCTGGTCTCGATCTCCTGACCTCGTGATCCGCCCGCCTCGGCCTCCCAAAGCGCTGGGATGACAGGCGTGAGCCTCCGCGTCTGGCTAACTTTTCTATTTTTTAGTAGAGGTGGGGTTTCTGTTACTGTCCCTGACAACAGTCACCTGCTCCCTTTGTCTCCTTTGACCCAGCCTGCTGGGGCTACTGACTGCTCATTCGAAGCCTATCGCTGGTTCACAGGGGGTTTGCTGGCTCCGAAATCTTGGAAGAACAATCCCTTTAGGGCACATGATACCATGTCATGGGAGCTGTCAGCAGTTGAACAGATCCAGAGTTAAGGCAGAGTTAATACCACCTTAAGAGGATCAAACTTAGTGCACCCTTAACAGAAACAATTAGCTAATGCAACTTTCATAGACCAAGAGTGAACACAGACATAAGAAGATAACATTGAGTATCCCCTAGGCTGGGTGCAGTGGCTCACGCGTGTCATCCCAGCACTTTGGGAGGCCGAGGCGAGTGGATCACAAGGTCAGGAGTTCGAGACCAGCCTGGCCAATATGGTGAACCCCCATCTCTACTAAAAATATAAAAATTACCTGGGCATGGTGGCAGGTGCCTCTAGTACCAGCTACTCAGGAGGCTGAGGCAGGAGAATCACTTGAACCCTGGGAGGTGGAGGTTGCAGTGAGCCGAGATCGCACCATAGCACTCCAGCCTGGCAGACAGAGCCAGACTCAGTATTCTCAAAAAATAAAAAAAAGTGAGGCCTACGGGAGGGATAGCATTAGGAGAAATACCTAATGTAAGTGACGGGTTGATGGGTGCAGCAAACCACCATGGCAGGTGTATACCTACAGCAGACCACCATGGCACATGTATACCTACAGCAGACCACCATGGCACGTGTATACCCACAGCAAACCACCATGGCAGGTGTATGCCTACAGCAGACCACCATGGCACGTGTGTACCCACAGCAGACCGCCATGGCACGTGTGTACCCACAGCAGACCACCATGGCAGGTGTATACCCACAGCAGACCACCATGGCAGGTGTGTACCTACAGCAAACCACCATG